ACTCAGTGTGTTTCCATCTATATGACATGCTGAAACTCAGTGTGTTTCCATCTATATGACATGCTGAAACTCTGTGTGTTTCCGTCTATATGACATGCTGAAACTCAGTGTGTTTCCATCTATATGACATGCTGAAACTCAGTGTGTTTCCATCTATATGACATGCTGAAACTCAGTGTGTTTACAGATACAAAGCTCATACAGCTTCATAAATTAGAACAAATCCTCATGTCTGAAATGTTGGGGAGTGACACATTTAGCCCGTGCTGAAACAAGTGTGTTTTGGAAGTCTCTTTGGATTAAAGCGTGTAAATGCAGAAACAGAAACTAATGCTATGTGTGGCTCTACCAGGTGAAGCTGGCCTACCAGGAGTCGGAGGTGGTGGCTCTGCTGAAGAAGATCCCTCTGGGTCTGGTGGAGATGTCGGCCATTAGGGAGCGAGCAGAACAGCTCCGGGACGGAAACCTGTGTGATTACAGACCCGTTCTGCCTCTCATGCTGGCCAGCTTCATCTTTGATGTCCTGTGTACTCCAGGTGAGCCCATCCAAAGCCTCAAACAACCTACACAGCCCGGACCATAAATGACACCTTTGACATTTCAGGTCAAATGTGCTCAGATACAAACTCCGTTTCTACTGGGAGAACAGAATCTATGTGGTTAGGGAGCAAGTCTCAGATATCCCAGTGTATGTTGTCTACCCAGAACAAAGTGAAAAGGGGAAAACAAGAATACTGCACAGGAACTTGCTTTTGCTTGTTAATGAGCTACCAGTAGAATTCCCACCACAGCCACAGAGACCAGTAGCAGTGCCAACACAAAAAAGGGAAATTCTCAGAAGAGGACAAGCAAAAGGAAAGACCAGACAGACATCACTGAGAATTCAGACTCTGAGGATAAGTCAGAGGCCGAATACTGTTTGAGGATACCAACAAGATGGATGGAACCCAGAATTACTTTTAATTCTGAGAGAACTGGGAATATTTAGAGGGAGGAAATGCCGGCATGGAAAATGTTGGAGGATTATAAAAAAGTTCAATGTCTTGCAGTGTAAGAAATGTAGATGTTTTTGTTTTTTCATTAACGCTGCATCAGGTTTAGCTTCTCTGTGTGACTGCATTTGTAGCCTGATTTCAGATCTTTTTAATGAGAAACCGAAGTAAAAGCCTTTTGTCCATATTGTCCCGGCAGTGGTGTCCCCGACTGGTTCCCGTCCACCAAGCCGCAACAGAAACAACGAGATGCCCGGGGACGAGGAGCTGGGCTTTGAGGCCGCTGTTGCTGCACTGGGTAAGATAAGATAAGATAAGATAAGAGCTTTATTGATCTCACAGTGGAGAAATTCACTGGTCACACAGAGTTCAAAAGGAGGAAAAGGTGCATAAAGTACAGCAAAAACAAACAAATATACAAGGAAGCAACACAGCACAGAGATTTGAGTGATTAAAATATATACAATCATTGATGGCTCACACACAGTACGCATATTACACAGGTCAATAAATATAACACAATTGCACAGCAGTTGTTAAAGTGCAGCGTTGTACAGTCTGGTAGCAGCAGAATGAAAGACCTGCGCTATCGCTCTTTTTACACACAGGGTGTCTAAGTCTTTTACTAAAAGAGCTGCTTTTAAAAGCTCTTCGTCTTGGCTTCTGTCTTAATCTGTTTGAATTTTTTTAATCTGTTACGGCTGAAAATGTCCTTTCAGTCTTCTCTGCTAGCTCTGGTAGGTCTGTATCAGTCTAGTATGTCCTGCTATCCATAATGCACCACAGGAGCTCCTTCCTGCCTGGTGCCATCAGAGCTTTCAGTTCATAACTCTCAGACCTATGGACATGGAGACCTCATTTTCTGTGTTGGCTATTCAATAAGCTGGCATGTACACATGACCCTATATATTTATAAGTTTACTTCATTTAGTTTTAGTTTAATTTGACCTTAATGTGTGTACAGTGGGGGAAATAAGTATTTGAGCCCTTGCTGATTTTGCAGGTTTGCCCACTTACAAAGAATGCTTATTTTTCCTCATCAGATGGTTATCAATTTTTATCAATTCATATGATGTGATTTTCTGGAATTTTCTTTGGGATTCTGTCTTTCACTGTTAGAATGTACATATGATTAAAGTTATAGATCATTGCATTCTTTGTAAGTGGGCAAACCTGCAAAATCAGCAAGGGCTCAAACACTTATTTCCCCCACTATATATATGTCTGTGCTCTTTTTAAAAAACGAATTCTCTTTGAATTTGCGGCTGGAGCAGATGTGACCCGAAATTGTAATTGTACCTATGGATATTCATGAAGCTTTTCTGGTTGTGATGCAGGTATGAAGACCACTGTGAGTGAGGCAGAGCATCCTCTGCTCTGTGAGGG